ATATTTAAACTTCATTCAATTTCATTGCACTACATGATATTGCAATAAACATCATGATATCGATGTCTAAAATTAAAAAAAAAACACTGAAGAATTGCTTTTTGGGTTTTGTTTATTTTGTGTATTTGAAAATGTCATCAATCGACCAACCATTTCAGTATTTATTATCATTTTGCTTCTCATAGATAACTTTTCTATCAATCTGGTTAAAACACAGATCCTATTTCGTTTCGTTTTTATAGTTCAAAATTTTGTTTTACTTGTCTTTACTACACTTGGATCTGGAAGAGTTGTTAGTTAACTCGTGTTCTGAATGGTGTCAGGGATAAGCCAATGAAACGCTCTGTCACGGCGAGCTTTAGGCGTGTTTTGCACGGAACTGTGGGTAACCCACTAGTAACATCAATGCTGATTGGTTAATCAAATGTCTGACATCATGGGGTCATAAGTCGGTCTTTTGACCCCTGACGTGACCTATGGCTATAACTTGTCAGATCTTCATGTAGTGTAGGCCATCCAAAGTATAAAAAAACGAAACGAAATATAGATCGATATTTTAATCAAATTGCTTTTCTATAGATCTTCCACAGACAATCTGTCTATACCTTCTTTCAGTATTCCGTTATAAACATGATTATTCCTAATAGAATGTTCTCAAATAATAACGGAATAAAAATAAAAAATAAATGTAAATTAAAAGAATTGTAATTTAATCAATCTAGTCAAGTATACTATTCAGACAACTCTCAAGCTGGCTTTCTTTTCTAAACCCGAGGGGGAGCGACGGTGGCTAAGTGCCTGGAAAGTGCTTATCAGTGGTGCAAGTCCGAGGGCCTGACAATGACATCTTTCTAGTAGTGCGGATGGGACGAAAAACGGTAGCGCCGCTGTCCAGGCAAAATTTACCTCATAGCACACTGTATGGCGTTAAACCCCATTTCATTTCATTTCATTGCTGAGGTGAATTGGTCAAATAGGGATATACACGAATTCCGTCTAACTACGGATGAACATTATTGGCAATTTGTAAAAAGCGAATGGTTACGCGGTACTAAGGGTTAATTAATGTCAATTACTTCGTGTAAAATATTCAGATGTTAAATCCAGGCTAAACACGTTTAATCGGAGAATATAATCCATCTTTTAGTTAAGCGATTAATAGTTTAATGTGTAGTTCGGGGGCGCATATAAACCGGCTAATTTGTTTCTTTGATCCTGCATCAGATATATTAGATGATGACCCGTGACCTCTATGGTGTTTTATGAAGGTCATACAGTCGCGTGAGAGGTCAGATGTGAGGTCAAACAATGTATCCGCGTTTCTAATTAAACGCCAAATTCCTTTGGGATGATTTCTACATACCAGTCTACACAATTATAGCCCGTCTCCTTGGTATTCCTTCATACATATTGGCATGTTCTTACAGCTGGCTTGGTAATACGTGTAATTCAATAATTATTGTATCTTCCACAATAGACGCGATCATTTCCGCAAACATTTATACAGTAAACAAGGCATAAGCAAGACGAGGTCGAGTCATTAAATCCGGGGCTGTTTTCAACCCACATATCTATTTATCTTGCAAGAAAGCTTTCATTTAGTTGAAGCTATAAGTATTGAGTTAAGTTATTTAGTATCGATTATAATTTCAGCCGATCTCTACTAATTGTACTTACATGTATGAATGCAATTGTCGACTTTTGTAAGCTAATTCGGGTATTGCATGCAACATTGGCATAATCAGAGACTAACATATGATCATTATTTTTTCTATGGTTAGGGAGGGGCATTTTAAAAAGTCTAGAACCTATGACGTATGGTTTTCGTACCATACGAACAAGGCGCATTTTCTATGTCATCCCTCATAGGCCCACCCTTGACAAGTGAAGTTCCGACATGAAAGAGGAAACGCCAGGATTTTAACCCGAGTCATTCAGCTCGACTACGACGGCCCCGATATGAAGAAAGATATCCCATGTCTCAAAAAACACATGAATACGTACGTGTAAGATATAACTTATACCACAATCAAAAACAAAACCATAGACTTTAAAAAAACGGATAGAAAATCAAAATAACAGTAAAATATTGGCACGGATTGCTTTAGCCATTATTTCATATTTCCCAAATCCTATTAATGTCGATTTTATCTGTCTGCTGACTGCTTTTTATGACTTGAAAGTGATTTATACCTGTCTGTGGTATCTATAATTATTTTAGAGTGTAGCTATTTAAAGAACACTTGTCTTTTATATATATTAAGATCGAGTTGATATGAGAAACAAATCGCATGAATTATATTCCGAAACCTTAATGATGTGTGAAGCTAAAGATAAAAACACAGTTTTCGGGGAAATTTTCTTACCATGTTGTGAATATAAAGGTATTTCTACGTATACTAAATGGATTGATTTCAGATGATAATTTTGATGCAGTGATCTGTTTACATATTTTTAATTATTACACCGTCTACTAGCATGTGGCGTATTACGCAATATTTTAAGTCAGAAGTAGTCGGGATATAGAAAGGGAATGGTGAGTAGCGCCCATTCCACTGAAATGTAGTCTCCACCAACAGAATTCAATTCGATGTTACCATTGGTAGAGAATGTAATATAATGCGAGCGATCTGCGAATTATGATACGAATGAATAACACATTTAAGTATATGGACATAGATTTAAAGATTGATAGATACTTAGACAATAAGATTTCTTGGTCGATTTATCTTACAGACTCGTTATTTTATTTATCGACTCAATATATCTCCACATATGTATTATGTTACATAAAGGTCTGGGATGTAACTGTTAGAGACAATACAGAATGACCCGAATAACTTATTTCAGTACAGCAATTTAAATAGTTTAGTTCGTTTGTTTGGATTGTCACATTTTAGATACGAAATAATCAAAGATATTTTATCGACAATCGAGCTGTTATGTTTGTCAAATAAATCATTTCCGAAGCTGGTGATTTATAATGTAATTCATTTAATGTGTAGCCACATCTTTCAATGTAAATATCTAGTTATGGAATCAATCTGTCCGCAAATAGAAAGCCATATATTTTGACTTGATACCTTAATATAGAAATCAGTGTGATTAGTAGACATGAAGTCTGTTAGATATGCTAACCTTTTTATTTCATGAATGTTGTCTTATCGGCAATGTTACAGATGAAATGAAAGGCTTAACATATATCAAAACATCTAGAAAAGAACATTACAGATCTCCCAGTATTTCGTGATTTCCCTTAAATCAACTTCATTGCAATATATCATTTAGTTTAGTCTCGCGTCAATATCCATCTATAAATATATTTGTAACTATCGTTTGTTAAACTGCTCGAGCCCGGAAGTGATATAGGTCTGGTGGCGTTGTACTACCACGTCCGGTTCCGTGTCAACCGTTAGTAAAAATACTTTGAGTAGCCCGTCTTTATTATCTCGGTTGGCACAGAAAGGTGGGGCATTAAACCCCATAGGACTGTGATGGATATACATAATGTAAACATTACCTGGGGCTACTTCTAATTTAATCTTAGGTATTAAGTATATAATCTCCAACATCCATCTCAAGAGATAAATTATGAGAAATATCATCATTGGGGACCTATCCATTAAGATGAATCGGGTATAGTTTGGTAAGAAAACAAATGATATTAAGGGGTCTTTTGAAATTACTATATATGCTATCCTTTAAATTAATCCTAAAGGGGAACACTATCCGTTAGAAATTTTGCATATTTCTGGTATTAAAATAGTTTAAGCTCGTACGTTTTAAAGTGTAGGTCGATTTATCTTTAGTTTGTCGTGTATTTTGTACACGGTGAAGAGTCCATATGCTGATTACACTATTTTGCCTTATTACACTATTTTGCCTATACTGTTTTTTGTCTAATGGTTTGGATTGTTCGTACTTGGTTTTATTTTATTTATACCAGCTGTGACATCATCAGAAGAATTGTTGGTCATTGTAAATAAACAAACAAGGAACATGTGCTGTATTGGTTTTTAGATCCAACGATCTTCTTCTTGTGCATTATACCTCCACTACTAAATTACAAAGTTCAGTGACTAGTTATTATGCCAGTTATAAGAGAGACAGACATCATTTGCATTTCGGCGATTATGCATTGTTAAAACTATTTCCATAATGCATAAAAAATCCGTATCGAGGGAGTTATCTTTAAATATCGAAGGTACTTTAGAGGTGCCAAACATAACGCTGTTCCTATATTACAGATACTAAGTGTCATCAAATTATGATCAATTAGTTTTTAGAAAAACTGTTTTGAAGGATCCCCTTTGTGTTTTCGTTTAATAGATAATGTACATCTTTGTCAATTTCTAGGCTTTCCAATCCGGCAGTTTTGAAATGTTTGTAATGTCTGCGCATCACGGTTGCTATATATAATTAAACGGAAACAGATGCGGAAATTAATCGGAAGTCGATTGCCACACTCTCGGGTTCAGTTTTGCATAGATACATGTACATGTAACTATTTTTGTACTTAGTCACGAAGGTTTTAATCTGTTATCAGTTAGGCAGTGTGCCCATTTGATCGAAGAAAAAATTGCTAATTCTTTTATGGGTATCAGTTAAGATTGATTATACTTATGTTTTATTACTGTCAAATTATAGAGTTAACTATTTCATGCGCTAAGGTGGGGTATAACAAAGCTGTTATGCAGAGATAATAACAGCAATTTAAATAATCTGCATTGCTCTAAATTGATCACGAGGGTTCATAAATATGGACATAAAATTTGACCTTTTTGAACAATATACTTTACTCTGGCTTAAATATCCACATTGTCATATAGTGTTACCAACTCACAACAAAGAGCGTATTTAAAATTAATCATTATTGATACATGACGGTTAATGTGGGTTAATTTTCTAAAAAAAAGAAAGAAAAAAGAATATGTTTTTGAATACAAAACGCATGGACTTACAACATGTATAATCTAGTATATTATTAAAAATATACTTACTTCTACAGTGATTATGGTATATCCAAGAAAACATAGGAATATTGGGTTGAAATCTGTGAGGATATTCATCTTTTACGTAAGTTTTATATTGTCTTGCTGGATACTCTTTTATTTCACATCCGTGAATTTGATTTAAAACACAAATTCACAAACGTCGCACTGATTATCGGAGAAGAGCCGCCCGCTTGATCAGATCAAGTGACCGATGCTGATAGAGTGGTGTAAATAAATTATAATCCCCTATATTGTATTCAATTCACGGGGGGCACGGGATAAACAGAAAACAACAAGAAACTTTGTGTTTGTCTATTTCTGGCTAACTTTAAATGGATTTCAAAAGCGGAAGATAAGTTAATCTGTTCTACATTCGATACCATTTACTTTGTTGATAAATGATAGTGGATACATAACACAGCCTTGGCGAATTCCGATTTTACGCAACACAAACATTACGTAACTTTAACAATTGTAGCTCAATGTTTATCATTCTATACAACAGTGGTCCAGTAACGTGTTTATGTGACTGTATCTCCCATTTGCTTTACAGCCTTGGTTATCTTGTGCACACCACTATTCTTCGTGTTATCTGCAACTCCATTATTTGTGTTTACATATTTCTGATAATAATCAACACCATTCCGAACACACCTCACATAAAGAAATATATACCCTTGTTTGAAGTTTTCTATTTTTTATGGCTAATGTTCTTTTGTTATCGTTATTGATAAACTACACTCTGGCGATTTGCGTCTGGTTTGCAAATTTGGTTGTAACTGCACTGCAGGTAAAACATTCAGTTATCTATAAATAAAAGAATAAATGATTTTTTTTATATTTAAAATATAATTAAAACTAAATCATACAACCTATTGATAATTCTAAATTTATAACACCCCCTCCCCCCCCCAAAAAAAAACAAACAAAAAAACCCCCCCAAACAAACAAAAAACAAACAAAAAAACAACGTAACAAACAAAAACAACAAAAGAAACAGACAAAAGTGTGCTGGGCACAAGGAAAGCAATTCTGCATCCTGTGTATCTCGAACTACGTACTTACTCATTTGTTTATGCTTATACAGTTGGAGAAAACACTAACACGTTAAAGTTCCTTAAAATAAAGCTCAAGCCATAACAACAATAAACACATTTGTCACCGTTGTATTCATATGAAATTAGCGCTAACCTTCTATAATCTACACAACATACGCATTATTCTTTAAACTGTTTCCTTTGGTTTAGTCCTCAACAAATTTTGCTACACAAAAACACCCGATGTAAGCACACGTTTCAAGACGGGGTCACTTATTGACATCTGCTACAACTGCAATGATAAACCGGCTGCCTGTCATTAATAATAACTTATACCATGCCTGCTCAAATAAATAATGTGACCAATCGTTTAGAAGTATAATTAACACGTCTGCGGGGTTAAACGTCTAACTACGTGTGGTATTGTAATTATTCACTCGTTATAAAGATGACCCACCTTCTTAATCTAGCTTTCCTTTAGTAGGTATTTTCCACAGTCTGATATTTATTAACGGATGTACTTCTATGTTGTGGAAGCGGACGTAAAACACCAACCTACCAACAATGTCGTGATCGTTTTTTTTCTGCTGAGTTGTATTTCCCAAATACTAGGTAAACAAGTAAGCAAGTGGGATATTAATTATCTTGGTAGTAAAGGGGCTATATCGATTAGTGGAATTTTCACGTCTAAAGGTTACTCGCCGACTGTAAATTTAATTATCCATGTTTAAACAGGCATTATTTAAGAGGCAAATCTGCCTATTGCAGGTCTTTCTCTCGATCAACTCTCGATGCCATCGGATGGCTCAGATTTTATGTAGATTAGAACGTTTGGGCCATTAAATGATTTAATTTAAAATCGAGAAGCTAAGCTAAGACTCGAATGACCAGTACGGTAGTTACGATCAATACACGCGTCTTGTTAAAACTACAACTACTGATAACTTCGCTCAAAATAAAGTAATTTGAATTAGATTTTCAATATATCCATTTTGCATTATCTATTTTTGAAATATACTATTCAAAAAAAGTAGGGGATATTTGATTTTTAAGTGTTATTAAAGTCACCTAATGAAACTGACGAAGAAACAAATGACAAAATGAAATGAAGTTCACATTCATCGATTTATTCCAAATGATCGTTAGACTAAGTAAGGCACAGACTGACCATTATAAGGGTAAAATGATACCCGGGGTCAAACAGCAAAGTTACCACAGCATCACAACCAAGTCAGTAACGGGTAAATCCTCCTCTGTTTGCCAAACAAGCATTGATCCGACGTGGCATACTCCTAATGAGACGTCTAAGGTCATTTTGGTCCAGATTGTCCCATTCCTGTTGCAACGCAGCAGCAAGTTCTTGGACATTGGCAGGACGTTGTTGACGTTGACGTAACCTCTGTCCAAGCATGTCCCAGACATGCTCGATGGGGGAGAGGTCGGGACTCAGTGCTGGCCAAGGTAATGTGGTGATGTTCTGTTGTTGGAGGTAACCTGTAACGATCCTGGCCCTGTGACATCTTGCGTTGTCATCCTGGAAGATGAAACGGCGGCCATGACGTCGTGCGAACGGCACAACATGGACTGCCAAGATGTTGTCCCGGTAGTACTGGCCTGTAACACGCCCTGCAACAACATGTAAAGCCGTTCTTCCAGCAACAGTGATGCCTCCCCACACCATAACAGAACCACCCCGTCGTGGAAGCGCTCGTTTCGACGACGCCACACCCTCCTACGTCTGTCCAAAAAATCAACAGTGAACCTTGACTCATCTGAAAACATCACATTGCTCCAGCGTCGATTATCCCAGTGTTGACGATCCCTACACCAACGACGTCTTACCTGAATGTGATGATCTCTCAAACAAGGGATCACGCGAGGACGTCGGGCGCGAAGGTGACCCCTATGCAGTCGATTCCGAATCGTCTGGCCACTCACTCTCACACCAGTGTCTGTTTGAAGACGAGCGCTGATCTGATTTGCTGTGATGACACGATTTCTCAAGGCCAAGGTACGGATAAATCGATCCTGGGCTTGAGTTGTCGCCCTTGGTCGACCTGAGCGTGGTCTGTCCTGTACAGATTGTGTATCACGGTATCTGGACCATAGCCTGCTTATGACAGACTGAGAAACATTCATCGTCCGCGCCACAACCGCCTGTGTTGTGCCGATCTGTAGCATGCCAAGGGCACGTAACCTTTCATTTTGGGTAAGCCGACGCATATCAAAACTTGTTTTCTGGTCACTAAAACAATTAAACTGATGTTTCCACCCTGGAATTCAATGCCACAATGACTGTAACATTCAAAGTCAGAGTCGTGCAAATCTTGGGTTGGACCCCCATGATGATCCCAAGCATCACCTGCATTCCATGCGGTAGCTATTGGTGCGTTTGGGCGTCACATGTAACTGGAAATGTTTCTTCTGTTAGGTTCTATAGTGACTTTTTTCGTAGTCATTTGCATATTTTAGTATTATGCCCCCAAAATCAAATATCCCCTACTTTTTTTGAATAGTATATTATAGCGCGTTATCTAAATCTTACAAAATGTCCCTTCAAGGAAGGGGTATTCGGGATTAACATCGCCCATTAGAACACACTACAAAGTACTCATATAGACTTGTGGTAGTGATAATTTATACCCCCGACTATCCTGTTTCATCTCAGTAGCCAATGACGTGCAGAGAGTGGGGGGGGGGGCTGCCCCGAGAATCTATTTCTCGTGGGCATCCTATCAATATGTGAAATTATCGCTGTTAACTTTATTGTACAAGCTACCAAACTTGATTTATTTGTATAATATCTAAAATGTCTTCCTTTCTAACATTTATGAATACTATAGGGTATTGGGTGCAAATAATCAAGTAGTTGGCCCGGGCTTCACCAAACCTATGTTGCCACTGTCAGTCGCGCCAATAAAGACTGATCAATTTGTCATATCTGTTTTAACATTGTAATTTCTACAGTTTGATTGCAGATGATGTGGAGGAGTCAAATCCGGCATTTATGATATAAGAAGGACAGAAACCATTAGTCCTGCAAGATTAAACACCCGATTAGATTTTATTACATACTTCGAGAAGGTATTTGTTGAGTAATAAAACCTTCTAGTAGTTTATCGAGGGCTGGACGTCCTTACCGCACGGTACAAATAAAACCTTCTAGTAGTTTATCGAGGTTCGGGTGCTTCCGGGGTCCAAAATGGCCGCTTTATATAAATGAGAATTTTGGGGATAACTAACCCGAACCCTAACCCTTTTTAAAAGACTGAACTTGGGTCTAATTTAGTTTTTACTTCTCTTAAAAGGGTTAGGGTTAGGGTTCGGGTTAGTATTCCCCTAAATACTCATTTGTATAAAGCTGCCATTTTGGTATGAGTTCTGGCTTGTTCTGGAATTTGTTGCTTCTGGTGGTGACAATATTTGTACCGTGCGGTAAGGACGGCCAGCCCTCGATAAACTACTAGAAGGTTTTATTACTCAAAAAATACCTTCTCGAAGTATGTAATAAAATCTAATCGGGTGGATTAAAGTAGCTAAGTCTCTAACTCAAAGTCTTCGACATTGAAAACACGAATTATTTTTCAATTTAAATCAACATTGATGTTGTAGTTTTATGGGCTTCTGATATCCAATATTTAAGACAAAATAAACATTTCACCTTTGGTACACGAATCGTGTACCATAACGCGTTTCTGCAACATTTGTAACAAGGGACTCGAAGAACGACGCTAGACATATTCCACAAGTCCTGTTATTTGGAGAGCATGCGCAATGAATACTATCGGTGTAGACTGGAAAAACCAGACGCTAGAGATTGCCATTCGATTGAGAATTTTGGCGCATTTCGCCGAACATAACTGATTTGAAATTAGAGTAAAAACGACTGAATGTAAATCAGTTTACATACGTTCACATCACAATATTATATGCGTTGCTACCCATTTGTGTCGGGGGGGGGATGCCTGAATGGTTAACGTGTGCGCGCTGTATCATAAAGTCTGTCATTGAATCAACTGACGTGGTTTCGATTCCCCGGTTTTACGTGACAAGGAGTAGGGTCGCCTGGTGGTTTTTTCCGGGTCCACCTGTTTCCTCCCACTGCTAAAGACCCCCACGCGTAAGCGAATCATTGAAATAAAATGAAACCATATGTAAGTCCCGAAATGACCTAGTTTGTGTCGAGTGGACGTTAAGCCCCATCTCTCTCTCTAGCCATTTCTGTCAATTTCTAGGTCCCAAATATTAGCGATTTAGCTCCTTTAATATCATGACAAATATTAAGCAAAAATGTGAACTGGTGAATTCTTGAAATTAGAAAAAGTACTGTATCTCATAAACTTTTCATCAGAAGTGAGAGAAATGTTGTATCTATCACGAATAAGATATGTTTTCATTAGCTTGATATATATGTACAACAGAAATATATTTGTTTTCTTATGAACAACAACTGGGACTGTAAACGTATGCAAGAATAAATCTTTTAATATTTATTTAGTGTAATAATTTCATCATTTTACATGAAGTACGACATTATTCACTGTTTACTTGGGAATTTTGTAATTTCATGTCAAATACGAGAAATTATCACTGTCTTAAGAAAAATACAATATATTTGACTATTAATATCATTAAACGATTGCATAAGTGCCATCAAGTTACATTTTAAATAATTATGAGTCACATTAATTTTAAATATGCAATTATTTTTAACAAATAATTTAGATTTCTTTAAAACATAGTGATAACGATTGGATTTGTTTTTTCGGTGCCGTGTATTTGCATTATGGTCTTTTTATAGGGGCACTGTTAAAGCTTTTGATTTATACTATATATATACTAATATTTTTACAAATGGTAATTTTATATATTCGCTTGAGCTTAAAGTGAACGTTTATATTACTGAAAGAAAGAAAACTGCCAAAGTTATATTTGATCCGCAGAACGAGTCTCGCATCTAAGTTTCATCATTAAAGATTAAAACGATGTCTTTAGCAGAAAAGTCATCCGTCAGCAAAATCATAGTTAAGAAATCCCACTTGATAAGGTTTTTTTAGAATCTACCAAGTTCTAAAAAACAAATCATTCATGTTCTTCGTCCGGTATCACATTAATAAGATTTAAGATTTGAAAAGAAATCATTGATATAGCTCAGCGTATTAAATAATTCTGATTAGGGTTCTTCCTTAGCCCCAGTGAACAATTTTACCAAATATTAAATTCACTATCTTTAAAAGTAACTACGTAAGTGGAAAGGCAATTCTGTGAAACTCTTTCAACATCGCTTGAAAATCGATATTGATCATCCGTATTCCCCAATGAACAATTCAAACAAGTATGGACAAATCTATTGACAACCATGTTCTGTATTGGTTTCAAAAGATTTGATTCAAACCCCACCTAATCAAAGCCAAGAAATGTGTGTGTCACTTTCATTTCTTAAAATAGATGAAAATGGTTCGAAAAGCACATATTATAATAATGTAGTATGCCTCAAGTGATTCATATTCAATTTTAAAAAAAAAATTGTAATTTCTGATCAATTATGTTCAATGAAATACACGTACGGTACGTGAAACATCCAAATTGAATGACAGTCTTTTATGTCTTCTTTATGTCCTACACATTTTTGTATTATTATTTTGTCGTTTGTGAGTCAGCCATTACTAATTACATCCGCATTGTCTTGTAGGATATGTTTTTGATTACAAATGGTGCCCGAAATCGTTTACCGATTTTAAAATGTGCATTGTGTCTTAAATATTGAATATTATTAATAGTATGTTTTCATGGCAAGATAACAACATCAATATTGATTGAAATGGATCAATAGTGAAGTGAATTCTAATACGTTTTTAAGTTTGAATATTATGGGAAATATTAGAGTTTGGGGTTTAGCTCCTTTACATTCATTTTAAGTGGCATAGGGTCACGCCGATATAAAAATCGCCTAATAGACACAACATGTCGGGGACTATTTGAGATGTTCATATCCATTGATATGAATATAAAGACTAGTCTGGACAGCCTACACTAACAGGCTAGACTCACTCCTACTTTATATTGAAATCAGAATAACGCCGAGGCGTAGGAACAACCCTGACGTCATTTAAAGCAGGGGTTATCCAATATAATTTAAGACTGCAGACCTTGTTCCCATTGCCCTTGTTTTCAGTTCAGAGTTTAAATATATTTTGACAAGATTTCATACATTTAAACGTTCTGAAATCCCTACTAAGATAACAGACCAGTAGAGTGTTCACAGGGAATTGTTAACGGATAACGGAGCGATGAACGAAGGTGACGACGACAATACACATGTGTACCATTAGGTTGATTTGCCATTGGAAGTGTTAATATTTTTGTTAAATTAAATTAAGTTAAATTAAACCTTTGAAAATGATAATTACAAATATACCGGTTGTTGCAAACTATGACAATATCTTACCAATATGTGCATCTATAATCATGAGCTGTCTCTCGAAACAATTGGACGGTAAACAACATAGCGTGTGCAATCATACTCTTAAAAATCCACTTCCACTTGATTTGTCGCAAACATAAACGCATAATCCCATAAAGTCCAAATAAATAACCAATAAATAGTTCTCGTATCCAATATCAAAACGATAAGCCACACGCACGAGTAGTTATTATGATTTGAAATTCGTCTGTAAAGTGATAAGCTGAATCTCGCAGGTCGTAGTAACACGTTCTCTCATGATACCGTATTCGACTTTGCTTCACATGGATTGAAAATGTATTCGACCCATCTTTGGATTTTCAGGTCCATGTCTTTCCAATTATGCAGCATGATTAGTCATAGGTGTTGTGCACAAATTAGGTGTAACATACGATACTACTTCTGGTTTTGCGATTCCATATACCTAATAAATATTTTTTGTTCTTTTGCACCCACTTTTGCTCTCTAATCTCATGCAAGTTCTGATATCGTATAGTATACATACTATCAACAAATTCATTATCTTATCAGAAAATAAAAAACCCTAAAGTTATGAAAATGTTTGACATACCAACAAGCTATTTGTTTACAGTAAATTCAGTTATCGAGAGCTGCACAAGGAATATGTTTCCAGGGGTTTTCATGTAAACAAAGCTTAAACTGTTAAAATTATCAGATCCACAATTTGACAGTGATGAGAAAATCTACGTTTGAACCCAGCACGCTTGAATATATTAAAGTCTTAAGTTCACAGTGTATCAATTTCACATGGGGATCGTTAATTAACTTGCTAATTACTAGATACTGGTAATTAAATCATCATGGAGCTGGTTACACACAATAATAAACTTAACTTAATATATATCCATCTGCGTCTCATGTATTTATCTTGTTCTTAGTCTGTCTCGTCTAGAGTCAACGCTAAAAGAATTTTCATATCCTCGATCAAATCGTTGAATGGGTATCCATCAATTAATGGGTATCCATCGATTAATTGGTATCCATTAATGGGTATCCATCGATTAAATGCAAAAAATTGTGCTACTGTGGATTGTGCACCTACAAAGTACCTCACCACGACAGTACAAAACAGTTATTATATTCCATAGAATTGTGTTCTGTGTATTTATGGTTGACATCTATATACCAGTTTAGGTGATGATGTTGGAGATATCTAAATTTGCCCCATTCAAGGTTGCACATTGCTCTGATTAATATGTACACGAGGTCTTTATTTCTTTAAATGTCCAGATATTAAGCAATGATTGTATCTGTTTTATATTCAGCATAATAACGTCCACTTAGTTCTGTTCAGTTGTGTTGGTGAATATCGTTGACGGGATATAATTCTTGTTTAAGGCACCCATTGTATTTATTTTGCATGTGTTGCTTTACGGTAATGCCTATCCTAGGATTCCATAAAGCCTATAGCACAAACGGTCAATTTATAAACGATTTTTAATTGCACCCATATTGGTAGTAAAAATCGCCCGTTTTGCGTGACATTTCGACTGGAACGGGTGGCGACTTTTGTCCAAATATCAAACAAATTTGGTATTCGGCGACAACAATTGCTCGCCGCTTGAAATTGTATATTAAGCTGTGCGGTAGCACGATTTACCTAAATCTACCCAAATCTTCCCTTATTTCAACTCATATCATAATTATTCATATCGCTTTTTTTTTTTTTTTTTTTTGATAATTTACAGTTCCATATGCCAATTGTCATTTTTAGTTAATAATCGTGGCATTTTTGTGTCAAAATGCTGCTCAAAATGCGATTTTCAAGATTATTTTGACGCAGAAACGCTACGATTTCAAAAGATAATGTGGTATAAAGAACGGTATATTATCAAGTATTGATATCAATCATTGTGATTTGAGTTGAAATAATGGTGGATTTGGTTAGAAATACCAAATTTTGAGGGGAATTTTGACATAAAAACGCTAAAATTTCAAAATATAAATAATTTGACATAAAGAGGGGTATATTATCGAATATCGATATAAATTATTGTGATATTCTTTGAAATAATGGTAGATTTGGGTAAATCGTGCTGTTCATCCCTGTGTATGGCTGCCGGGCGTTACGTTGCTAAGTCACATTATCAGCTGTGGCAATCCCTATTTTGAGAATGAAATCATGACTATGTTCATTACAATTCGTACGTAATCACCCTTTTCCCACGTGGAAACTAGATGAAATGAAATGGGGTTTAACGTCCTTCTGTGTCCTATGAGGGAAATATTACCCGGGTAGCGGCACTATGGCCTACTCTTATACTGAATTCCAACTGCCAAGGGATATTTTACGTGCATGTCAATATATACACGGGAACCCACTTTTTTTCTTTTCCGAACGACTAGACAGGCCCTCTGTCCTTCACCACTGACAAGGGGGAACTTTCTCGGCCAATGTAGGGATCGAACACCCGCCTCCAGGCTAGCGGGTCAATGCCTTACCTACTTAGCATGGAAATTAGAACCGTAACACATGTGACATGTGGCTGTATTGCTATTCCGGGAAAACGAGTAACATAATTCAATTACATGAGTTATTTTTACCAAAAACAGGAATTAAAAGAATGTCTTGAGTATGAATATTACAATTATCTCATTATCTATCAGTAATGAAATCATTTCCAAACCAATTAAATTTTATGAACTGCAATTAACGTTTTGGCACGTGAAATGCATTAAATATTAAAGTCTTGATGCGTAATTTTAACGCAAATTTTAACTTGCAAACTACAACATTGTGAAAGATCATGGATCTCTAATAGGAATATCAGTCACAAAATGGTTCAGTTCTGTTTAGTATTTACAAAGATACGTGGAACTGAAATTTCATCAATTTATGTTATTCGCTATGTAATAAGCCCACTGCCATTTCGTTATCAGCGAAATTTATTGATAGGCCTGTTTTATATCCGATTAAATCCAAGCCGGGACATTATCTAGCATTGGTATTATGATTTTGTTTTCTTAATAAAATGTCAAACTATTAAGTAATTGTGTGAAACATTTGATTTTTAGCGCAAGAGCAAATGATGCATCGTGACTTTAATGCCAATTCAGATTAAAGGGCGGTTGTCACGTCAGATGCGACTCCACCTCAGATACACCTTTTGAAATTGAAAATCTCGAATTGGGGAGTATGGGAGGATAAATATAATGAAATGGGGCTTAAAGTCCTAGTTTCGTGCGGTTCTTCCCCGAATGAGCTAATATGGGAATGTTATCTTTTCTCGGTAATTGTTAATAATAGTTGTTGAAATTGAAAATTATTATTATATTCCATTATAAGTTTTTGCTATCGTCAATAATGTTTTAAAACTGAAGACTATTATTCAAATTCAAATATATTGCAAAATAAATTATTCGGATTTTTGCTTTTGGAATCAGAAATATAGATTTCTATATGCGAATTGTATTCGTATTACATTAAAATTAAATATAGTTTGGCACATGGGCTAAAGATTTTCCCTATCAGTTATTGTAAGGTACGCTATAAATGACATGACGCGGATAGCGCCACAAACCGTTGTATATTTTACTTTCGCAGCTTTCCCACTTCAGATAACGACTTCGTGTTCGAACTTTTTGGGTTTGAATTCCAAATTTAAATTATGTAAAGTAGTGACACAAGTTTGAAATTAATTCCAAGCGAATAAACATTTAATGTTACTGCCTATTTATAATTAACTTGTTATTGACACGGACCAGTGGAATTCAATGCTGAAACATGTTAAATCTCTAACTCAATTTTCCATAATGTTAGAAATTAAAAATACGAATTAGAATTCAATATTGGCCAATTTCAATCAACATCGCTGTTGTTATCTTGCCGTGAAAATATAGGATCCTAACATTCTTTTATTTAAGACACAATTAACATTTTATAAGCAGTACACGAGTCGTGTATGCTATGGTTTCGGGTGCCATACAAACATATTCTACAAGACTAGGAAGTAATTAGCAAATGCTGATTCACAACCGACAAAATATAATTTAAAAAGTGTGTAGAATGCACCAAGCAGCCGTAAACAACTACCATTTAATTTGAACTGTTCACGTATTTCACTGAACGTAATTGATTAGAAATTACAATATTTTTTTAAAAAGCTGAATATAAATCACTTTACATACATTTAGAACCATTTTCGTCTATTTCGAGGTTCCCCAAAATAGAGTCGTATACCCTTTAAGCCATGCTTTATCAGTAAAATATTTAGCTGAACCATGAATAAACTAGGACAAGCTATAACTATGTAGGTTATTTATATACACTATAATTACTTGAAAACTAAATGCATGTTTGCTCTAAATATACACTATAATTACCTGAAAACTAAAATACGGATTCGCTCTAAATATGGCTTATAATTTTGTGTCGTCCGAATTATTTTAAGTGCAATACTACTATATGTATGATAACTGTACACTTATGTGCCCCAAAAGCTGACTTGACAGTCGACATAATTGTCATCGACGATATAAATCATTTGCAAAATCTCTAAATATTATTTAAAAGATTGAGAAATCCCTTGCAAACTAACGCCAATATGCGAGTTGTCAGTCCAAAATGCTTCGTTAAAATTAGGTATTGATACAAATGTGATGAATTGACAATTTGTCATTATTCGGCATCCTCTTCAGAAACATATACATGATAATATGGTTAAAAGTCAGCACAACCTAAACTCTGTTAATGGACCCCTTTTTTAAAGAAAAAAACAAACAAACAAAACAATTAAATCCAAGTCGGTTGATTAATCTGCCGTTGATATGTTGGGTTCATTATCTAAATGTTAAACAATCAATCTGAATACATTTTAGCGTATAATGGGCCGTGGAAAATATATTTCCGAAATATGACGCACAGAGAATTCTAATCAATATGTCAGCTTAATTACGAGAATAAGAATTACAACGCATGCAATACAATGTAAAGTGTTCTTGCGCAAAAAGTTTATTGAAGTTTACAAGAGTAAGATAATAAAGGACTAAATGCCACTAAAGGACTAAGATAAATACCTGTTATCCAAAAGTGCAACTATTGCACAACGAAGTATACAGAAAAACAGATACGTAATCCTTCTATGTTGCACCGTTATTAAAAATAGAGACAATTAGAAGTGAGTATTCGTAGCAAATACAATAGAA